GGATGCTCAAACTTGACGAGAAGGGAATCTGAAGAGAAGAGATAGGAGCTTTCCCTTTTTTGGCCTTGATACACTTGAGACAATCAGTAACTTTATGGATCTGGGGAAGCAAATTTATTTATAGAACAGGAAGTTTTTTATGAGTTGCTGATATACACAAAAATTATAGAAGTTGGCTCTTACTATCTTCTAAGCTTCTTCTAAGTGATAAACATACAATTTATCTTTGTGCAGAAGATCATTTTGTCCCAGAATTATACAACTGGGTGAAATACCTGCCAATAATTATTTTTAAGGGATGAGAATATTTATTTATTTATTTATTTATTTATTTATTTTTATGAGAATTGCACTGGACTTTGGGTGGAGCTGAATCCAGCTCCATGTTTTAATAGGAATGTTTTGGATTTGGCTGATTTTTCTATTCTAAATATGGAAATGTTTCAGATTAAAACATTTATTTTTAGGGCAGTAATACCCAATCTGTTTTAGGCATGCTTCATAGCTGCAGCTTTTTGTTATCCTTTCTTTTCCTCCTCTCTTCCATCATCCCATGACCCATGACTTCTCAGTGCCCCTGCCTTCTGAGATCTATAGTGCTATATTTCCTTATCACCAAGCAGCAAACTTCTTTTTCTCTGAGGTTTGAACCTGGGAGTAAAACAGAGAATGAAGAAACGTAATAAACTTAGCAGCTGTCTCTCTTCTGTTCTTCAGTCTCAGCAATACTTCTGCTTTTGCTTCTATATCTTATCTTTAATGTTGTCGTGCCTCACTCAGAAGGCTTGCCTCATAGGCTGGGAACTACTGCTTTTGGTGATGACTTGTTACTTTTTTTTCCTTCCATTTATCACGTCTGAGTTAACTCGACAGCTTTCAGCTGCTGCCAGGTTGTCAACACTGGATCCAGATGTTCCCAGAGTACAGACTGATGTAGTAACAGCTTTCAAACTGCAGCATCTGACAGCTCGCGGCTCCCTACTTTTCTCTCTTCTGCACCACACATGCCTCAGCCCTTTCCTGGAGGGATCACATCAGCAGCAGGGTGGGATTTGGCTCCTTTGCCCCCTTGCCCCTTTCCTTTTTGGTTGAGACTGCCAGCCTGGGAGTCTGAGGCGATGCTGGTGTGGCTTAGAGCAGAACTGGAACGCCTGCTTCCCATATGGTTCAGAGCAGCTGGCGGATGGTAATGAATGCCAGTGTCCAACAGCAGGAGCCTGTTGTGTGTACGTGTTTGTATCATGCGTGTGCACCTCCTGAATTGCCGCTGTGTTGGGCAGCAGCTTTCTTCTCTCTGCTAACAAATGCCCTGAACGGCTCCCATAAAAGTGCATATTACTGGGTACTGCAGCTTGCAAATCATAGTTTTCATTGCTATGGCTTACATGCTAATGTGTATGTGTCAAAGCATTTTAATGAACTAAGCAACATAGCTAGAAATACATTTTATCTATATTTTGCAGAGGGATGTGGGAGAGATGCCAGCTGGATATCTTGATTAAGAATCAGAAATGACCGTGACAAGTCTCTTCTTCAAGATATAACATCACCCAGTACCTAAAACATCAGCCGTGATGTTTATATATAGTGTTTACATATGAAGCATGACTACCTGCATATGAAGCAGACTACCTGCAGGGTAGTCTTTCTGCAAGGTTGCCATGTTTCCAAGAGCTGCAAAAATATCTGGAAGCCTGCAGCAAACCCACAAAATGGAAACATGTTCAAAACTTTCCCTGACAGGATATTTTCAAATGAAAGAATATTTCATCCTAGGAGCAGGTCAGTTTGGATGCCTGCCTCAGGAAAAGTGAGGACTATTTTGAAGCTGAGCATAGGTAAGCAACAGAAACTATATAAAAGGCAGGGCATGTTAAAAATACCACTGCCTGTTTGTGATTCAGGACAAGTCCTCCATGAAGCTTTAGTTACCTCAAGAACTGACTGGGTAATGGGAACAGCTTTCCAGCACTTGCTCTTGCCCATCTGGCTAAGGGGTTTTGTACACTTGGCCAGGACCTCACAACTTTGGGGACTGTTGGTGTGTGGCATTTAACCAAGAAGAGCAGCTGCTGCTTGTTGTTGAGCCAAGTGTTGCCCAGTCCCCGACTGTGAGTTTGTCATATAACCTACCACCATAATGGAGATAATAACATTTGCCCTTCTTTAGAAATTACTTTGAGATCTGCCAAAGAAAAGGGCCTATTCAAATGCAAAGCCTGATGCTTTTATTTATTAATAGATGTTGTGCCAGAGTCACCAATCTGCTCTTGATGCCTAAGTGCTGCTCTGAAAACAGAATCTGCCTGCCTGATTTAACCCAGCCGGCGAGCTGAGGCCTAGGGCTGCTTTGTGATATTAGGAACAGCACGAAACAGCCAGATGTTAACCAGCAACCATTCAAGCCTGGTGTTATCCTGCCTGTTATCCTCTAAAACTTGAGCAAACGTACAACTGCCTAAAGCTTGCCCGCCAGCAGCATCGCTCCTGCACCTCCTGATGCTGAGCACTGGGCTTCTCAAAACACTCTGGCACCCTCAGAGGATCAGTTATTCTTGCAAAAATAAATAGTGATTACAGGTCAAACTATCATCTCCCCAGGGAATTTATTTTTATCTGTGCCATAAGACCCACAGGGGTGTCTCCTTTGTGCTGGGCTGGCAAGCACAACACAGGACTAAACTGTGTTTGCCTAGTACATGAGCATTACTCCAGCACTACCTGGTGTTTCTAGAGACTCTGGCTCAGCTCATTCTCAGCCAAAATTTCTAGGGGAGATAGGCAGGAAAAAAGAAAAACAAAACAAAACAAAACACCTAATTTCAAACAGAGAGTCTCGCTCTGGCTTGATTCCTCTGCTATTAGCAGGTGGGAGATCGGCTTGTCTAACATTGTGCTTGCTGCCTTTTGTTTTTGACTGTGCACGAAGCCTTGTGCTGATTTAAGTCAAAGCAGAAATTTGCTGGATCCATATTTGCTGTCCTCGGGGGAGTGCTTTATTAGATTACTTCTTCCTCCATGTTTACAGTAATAGATGACTTTTAGAAACACTTCTATTAGGGTGAAAGCGGAGGGTGTATTTCCACCAGCAGAGTGCTCAACAAACATTTGTTTTAGCAGATGAAATGTAAGTGCAAGCAACTTCATTAATACACTTTTACAAAGTTGGTTGTTCTCCTGGAGCCAGTGAGTTACAGTCTGTTTATTTGGATTTCTCGATTTAGCATATTCATGGCAGTACTTTTTATTCCAGACACCACGTAGGCAGATGCATCATTGCGAGTGCGGGGTTAAGAACCCCCCCTGTAAGCCAGAGCGAGCCCCGTTGCTAGGTTCATATTGAGGTGTTCTGATTTAAAAAAACAGAAAAAATAAAGAAATTGGATTAAGCTGGATCCAACTCGTTCCCTCCTGAGCTCCAGAGTGTTTTCTCCCGAGCAGGCCGCCGCGGTTAGCCAGGAGAGGGCAGCCTCGCCTTGCGGAGCTGCCCGCGGTTACACCAGGCTCCGTGCCCCGGGGGTGCGGCCTGCTGCTGGCTGCCTGCTTGGCCGTGGATTTTCTCCCTAATTTAGACTAAAACCCAAGAGCGGCGCTTTCTGACCGCACAACGCGTGTCCTCGTGGATTAAGCAAAGATAAATACAGCCAAAGTGCTCCTTTTAGCTGAGACGTTTGCCCCCGTAGCACCCTGTGCTGTGCCTCACCAAACGGGGCCTGCTGCCCGGGGCTGGTTGCGCTCTCTTGCTGTTGTGGGTGAAATTTGGTGCTTTGGAGAAAGCCAGATCACAGCAGGGTAAACATGATGGAAGATGTGTTAAGCTTAGTGAGCTCATTTTGGTTGACGAGAGCCTAATTTTCAGCTGGTTTAGATCAGTATCATTCATAAACGTTAGAATCACAGAATCATTTAGGTTGGAAAAGGACTCTAAGATCAGAAGATGAGGGTCACTGGAGCAAACCATGAAGGAAAAAAAAAAATAAAAAGCATTGAAATAAGTCCTGTTTGCCTTTCTCTCTGATTACTCATACCTTTTAATGATGTTCTCCCTCACCGTGGGGTGGGATTTCCCTTGGCTTATTTCAGTTTCCATTGAAATAATTTGGAAAATTCCAATGGTTTTGGTGGAAACAGGCTCAAAAAATCTGTGATTCTCGGAAGTGCTCTTCCTTTCCAAGAAGCATCAAGAGTGCTTTATCTTTCACAGAAGTTTAATGCTGCTTCACTTTTGATGCTGAAAATGCATTACATCAGAAATAAAACACAATGTAAATGAGATTATACAATGAGCTCCCTACTCAAAGAGATTAAATTGCACAGCATTTTAAATATCTTGCATTAATATTCTTTGGACCGTCATTTCATTTCTTTGTCTGACATTTGGAATTTATTGAACAGTCCAAGCTACCTTAATTTTAATTCATCGTCTTTAAGGATTTGACATGTTCAGTGAATTTGGCTTACTCTCTTTAAACACAGATTTCTACTTCTTATTAGCAAATTCCTGGAGTTTCTTCAGTTTTTGTACCTCCACAGTGATGCTGTGTATTGACAGACTCACTCAGAAAGCAAAGCTATTTTTGGGTGTCTCCCTGGTTAATAACGAAAAATGTTCCTCTTGCAAAAGAAAACTATTTCTCTTCTGCGTGAGTCATGACTCTGCTTGTATGCACAGTGAAAGATTTCCAGCTTCTCAGGCTTTGCTGGCATTCGGGGCAGCTTTCAGCCAGCCAAGATTCACATGTGGAAACTAAATATGGTCATAGGGTTATACTCCCATTTTTTGCCCATTACTCAGGCTCTTGCATGGTGTACTTCGATGCCTACTCCCTTTCTGCCACTCTGCATCTCCTTCTGCAGTGTTAGTTTACTCTGTGGTTAAAGCTAGTAAGATCGTAGACAGCATCAGTTACAAACAAACAGTGTTTCTTGTTCTGATGAAGAGTACTATATAAACGAAAGAGCTAGTATTAAACCCTGGAGGGAAACTAAAGCCCAGGTACCTTTATAGAGCTTCATTCTAGAGGGTGTCACCTTAAGTCTTAGTCCAACTTCAGCTGTAGTAATTGCCACAGCTTCCATGGCAGAACCTGCCAAAAATAGAAAAACAAGACGGAGAGAACAATTTTTTTTTTTTTTTTTTTACAAAACAAAACAACAAACAGAACAGCCTGTGTATTTTCAGCAACAAGAAGTCAGAGGGACATTTTTATAATTATATACAACAGCCAGAAGAGTTCTGATGTCATGGGAGCCAGAAAAATTATGTCTGAAATTATACTACGTTTCACCGTGGAGGTTAATCAGTGAGCCAAGGCATATTTAGGTTCTTGTAAGGGTGTTTGACCCCTGCTTAGGACTGGTCAGCACATGTGGCCATGGAAGAGCAGTGGCAAACACAAATTACTGAGGTCTGTCAGCTACACAACTGTTGGCGAGGCGCTGACTCCCTTCCCACGTCTGTCCCAGGGAGCTCGTCCCCTCCTCATGGGCTTTATGGACCTGGTGGGAGTTGCACAGGGCCTGATCTCATACTTAGGGCTGGGCTTCAACTTCCTTAGCAGCTCTGCCTTCTCCATTTGCCTCAGTGCTCTTCTGAGCTGTGTAAAAACTTTTAGCATTCGTCAGTGAAGAGGAAACACTAGCTTTGTTCCCAGTTTCCACCTTCAGCCTCCACTGAGAGTTCATTACAGTACGGCTCTGTGACCAAAGGTATCTACGAATAAGGCCCATTTGCAGCAAGACATTTACATAGTGTCAAATGCATAATTTTTCCCTGCAAATTAGATGAGACTGTGCACATGCCTGATTAAGACAGACTTATGCTCAGGCTGGATTACAATTTTGCTTGGGAGATATTTTGTTAGCTGATGATTTATTCTTGCACTGTATAACCTCTATGTGACTTTGTGGCTTGCTACAATATTTCTGTTAGGAACCAAAACCACAATTTTTAAACAATAGCTGTGGCAACTACATGGATTAGTAAGCATGAACTAGAAGTATTGACACAAGTTTTTCAAACTTTTCTTTTTAGATTGATTACTTTTTGTGTGTGTGTGTGTGCAGTTTTTGTGTTCAATTGTAAATAAGTTTATAGTAAAAGAAACATACAAAAATCACTTTAATTGGATAAAGAGGGCTTACTTTCTTGACGAATGCCACACACTGGAGAGCAACAGTGTTTAGAGATTAGATTCACATCAGATTCCCTATGATCTCTTCACTACCCCCTGGCTACAGAAGGGTTTTTAAGGCAGAAGTGGTTCCAGTTTCAGCCCTAGGTCTCTGTAGCACAGAAATTGTCAGAAAAATAGTGTCAATATTGGGAGAGGTGTAAACTAAAAATCTTTTAGCTTATTTCTTTAGTTTGAGAATCAGTCCATTAAAGAGACATAGAATAGAAATTTCTGCAGGGCATTATGTAAGTGTTTTTACTTGTGTTGCGTGTACCAATATTTATTCTGGAAACAGAGAACTTGTTTTCTGAGAACTATTCCATTTCATGCCACTTTTCAAAACTATTGAACTGTCTTCAGAAATATTCAGACACGCCTTATGCCAATTATTTGCACCTGTTGCATTCCTTATGCAGAATTAAGTCACTGATTCTTTTGCAAAGCTCCTAAGATTGTTATGTTCCACCTCAGAATATCATTTGGTGTTTATATGTAGTGAAATGTGATCACATGTACCATGAAAAGGGATCAACATGGCTGCTGATCTGGACTGCAACTATCCGCATGTCATTGTTTGTCAGATAAACTATTATTTCCTAAGATAAAAGTGGTATTTCTTGACATGCTTCCATCAATAGTTGTGTTTGGTAACCCAGCAGGACAGCTGAGCTGTTGGGAGCAACTCAAAATCTGCATTTGACACACTCTGTTTTTGTAGGGCCACCACAAGTAACATCGCATACAGAAAAAAATAGATCCAGTAAGTGGCATTATTGACGGGCATTCAGAAACATAGTACGAGGACTCAACAGAAAGCAATGATATGGTTATCTATTAATTCTGATGTGGTTTTCTGTCAGTGGAATTAAGGCTTTTTGCTTCTAGGTGGTGTTTGTAAATAAATGCAAAAATGAATGTAGGCTCCAGCTAGAAGTTTATTAAATACTATTGATCAGGGCAGCTACAGAGTGATTTTTCTGGGTAAGATTTGTTTCCAGAATCATCTACATGACTTATTGGGAACTTACTCTGAATATAGAGATCAGAATGGAAACAAAGCAAGATTTCTTTAAGGTTTCTGCAAATTGTAGACCTTCTTCTGCAGCCATGGTGATGAGATAGCATGGAAGGGGCTTCAGAGGGAAATACCTCAAGTTGAAGCTGCTGAACAGAGAAGCAGGGCTCTGTGTGACCTCCTCTCAAGTCTACTGAAAGAAGTGTGGTACAGATGAACCTCCTCATGAGCTAGCGACATGTATGCACAAATGAAGGAATTTCTGGACATTAAGGCAAAGTAACTGCTGGTGGTGAAATGGCTTGAACAACTGGAACGACAGTAATGACCTCAACAGGGCAACAGAGACAAGTGTGGTTGTAGCTGTGAAGCTGAGTAAAAGGTTTAGTGCAAAGACATACAGTATGTGCCTTTAACCATTGCTAATACATATATATGATTAACTCAGTGTTGTTTAATTTACTATTGTATTTTTGTAGGGTGAATCTTGAAAATCAGAAATGTTGCTTATCAAGAGAGTTGACATTCAACTTCCCCAAGACTCAGGGCAGGGGTTCAAACTGGAGGCGTGGTAATATTAAGAGGAATACCTCTGTGCTTGAGCCCTGTTCTTGTTGCCATCAGCAACAGGTTTGTTTTGGGTTTCAATCCTCAGTAATCCATGAATCAACGGGTCACAGAAAATTAAGATTATTTTTTTCCTTATGTTGGATAGCTATCCACCAACAGTAGTCACAGTGTGGTTTCAACGATAAAAGTTTTAGTGCCTCAGCCAAGAAGTAAACTGATGAATGGTGAAGTCCAAGTTTTTTGAAGACGCCTACCACAGAAAGTCTTTGCTGAGGAGCTGGGCAGTGCTGGCTGTAACCTCTCTGTGCTGAATACTAGCATTTGGTCAGGCAGTTCTGCAACCCAGAGGAACAAATCAGTATTTTAAATGGCTTTCCTCAAAGAATGCTCGTTAGAAATACACAAAAGAATTTTGTTTTAACAACAGGAATGATGCTCCAAAGACACTCAAATTCAGACCAGAAGACCCGGTATTGCTAAAATCTGACAAAAGCAGCTTCAGCTTTTTGTCTCCAGACATCTTTGTTTCACGGGATTCCTTGGACTGTTTCAGAAACTCAGCACAGATGAAAGAGGCAGAATTTTATTTGTTTCCAAATGTAGTTGGATCATTGTCTAGCAGGGGAGTAACAACATCTACTCCTGTTGAAAGAAGACAGCTGAATTGACAGAAGCCCGTAACAGCTGAATTGGAGCCTACACATAATGAAATAAAGAGATAAAACACTGCACAAGCCAGAAGATGAAGCGTCATGAGATGACAAAGCATGAACAAACCTTGAGGGTGCTTGTCTAAACCTAAAGGGACCCTCGTGCTCTGTTCAGTTGTCAGTTCCAATTACTGGGATATTTATAGTCCTACAACAAACGTAGACTACACTGGAGGATTTCTGTCAATGAGACAGATCATATATATAAAGTAAGTGATTTGGGAAGATGACATGCTGCTGGTTGTGGGGAGCACAGGCTAAGTGTTGCCCACCAGCATATTGGAGTTGGGTGTTGGGACTGCAAGCAGAGTTTTTCTAGCATCTCCTGAGCCTGCTGGCTGCTGGCAGCACTAGGAGGTTCCCCAGCCATGCTCCCCAGTGTGCTCCTCAAAAATGGGAGGCAGTTTTCAGGCTCAGATGTTCACCCAGCATGGCTCACATGTAAGTCTGGTCATACATACCATGTCCAAGGTAAGTTCTGAGCTGACATGTCAGTACATTTAAACCTAGCTCTATGTGACCTACCTAGGGTCATTTCCCTTCAAGGTGAATCATGGTTAAGTAGAAATTTGCACATCCCGATGATACTTTAGCGCCTTGGCTACTGTTGTCTCTATTACTTATTGTGATACCCCCCACCCCCCCCTTTTTTTTTTTTCCTTCTGAGTCTCCATCCATCACTACCAGATGGAAGTATGTCTGCCATACAGTTTCACCTTATTCCCCGAGTATAAAAGACAAATCCCCTGAGATTCCTTCATCCCGTCATTCTCTCTGTAGACCACGTCTGTTCCTTTTGATGTACTTTTTCATTTGCTTAACACCAGCTATTTCTGCACCACTTTTTTTTTTCTTTTTTTTTCTGCCAGTAGGATTTCTGGCATCATGTACACCTGGCAAGCTACATCTAGAGCTCTGTTTGCTGGAGATGGGAAGGCTGCATGTTTTGATGAGTAATAGTCATAGGTGAATGCCTGTATTCTGGTAATTGCCAAAAAGTTATACAACGACAGGTCCTGTGGTCCCTTAAGGTTTCTCTGAGCTAATCCTCTGGTTTAAAGCATTTTGTAGCTCATTTCCCAGCTCTTTTTGGCAACCCCTGAGAATGCCTATCACCTCCAGTTCCTGCAGGAGAAGGTGGCAGCCAGAGGAACTTCACATTTGTAGGTCTCAGCAGTGAGTGGATGTGACCTGGATGCCTGTAGACTGAGTTCTACTGACAGTTATGTCCAAGGAGACTCAGGAGTCTGTAGAGTTATGTTGATTTAGGTTCTTAAAACAAAAGCAAATTACTTACTGGTATTGAGCCTAGGGCCCTTTGTGGATTGTGTCTTGACTGAACACTAAAATATGCCTTGACCATATGGCACTGAGTCTGATCGTTCTCTTCCCACTTCCACTATCTTTAGTAAAAACAATTACAAATCAAGTGAGAATACTGTTCCTCTAGGTATTGTCATAGATATCAGCACACAACATTTTACTATTGAAGACAGTGTGCACTAACTGCACTATAGAACTGAAATTTTAATTTAAAATACTACAGAAGAATGCCAAATAAAAATAACATATCCTGTATCACACAGTGCTCCAGTGTCAGACAGCATGAGTGGAAACTTTAAGGCTTCTAAGACACCAATGAAGACAGCAAAGGTATTATAAGTTAGTAGTGATTCATTCTATACCTTTTTCCTCTTCCTTAGGTTGTGAGGGAAAAAAAAAAAAAAAAAGTGTGGAGGATGCAGCAAAAACACGAGGCAATAAAATCAAGGGACTGAACTGAGAACAGTTTGTATTTAACGTAAGAGATGGTCAAAAGACACCTTGGGTGCAGCTTTGGAAATTCTCCACTGCTAATAAAAGACTCTGGTTTGTCATTCTATCATCTTGCAAAATTATTTCAATAAATGCATTTCAAAAAATATTCTACATTTAATCCGTTGTTCTTAAACAAGAAAATTCAGAAGGATCTATCACACAACCAAACAGTTCATGCTCCCTCATTTCTCAAAACTAGGGTGCTCCATCTGACTTCAGCTAGACTGCCCTGCTTCTCCAAACATCATCTCAGGTAATTCAAAAGGAAGCAATTCAAGCTAACTGGCACAATTTAAGAGTTGATGTCATGGAGGTTGAGAAAAGTGACCAGAGACAGCCAAGAAGGTTCTTGCTATGAACCTAGAAGGTTTCTGCTATGAGGTAAAAGTGCTGCTGAGCCCACCTGAACACCCAATATTATGACACTGACTTTCATATCTAGCAGTGTAAGTCTGTCTCCATGACATTTATAGACATGATATGTGATTGTCCAACGACATTGCCCAACAGCAAATATCTAATCCTGTAAAAGACAAATCTGGACCTTGCCAGGGGCTGTATCATGACAGATCATGGTTATTACTGCACTGAGAGCCTGGCAGGACCATGGGAAGGAGATTTGCCCCCAGCACACCCCTGTGACTGCTGCCTTGCAGAGCACACGGACAGCACGGTCACAAGGTGAGCCTGCACAAACAGCCCTAGAGAGGTGAGATGGCAAATGGTTATGGTGAGTGGATGTGTCTGTGCTGAATCTACTGGGCTTTTTTCGGAGTGTTTTTGAATACTGGAATGTTTGCATGCTTTATTTTCACCTTACAACTTCCCTTTTAGATTTCATACCTTTTACATTTCTTCACAATTTATAGTCCACTTTAATGTACTATTTGCTACCATTGGACTAATCAGTACCAAATACACCATCCTGCTACTGGAAAACACATGACAGGGTACTTTAGGCTGTTATTTTCCATTTGACTATTAAAAGCTGGTTACTAGATTTGCAGGCCAAAATGTAATAGCCTGTTTTGTTGGACTTCTGTGTACTAGGTAATGGTGTGACAGGCAGATATTGTGCAATAACCACTTAAAAAGGAACTGCTTGCCACAAGCTAGGTCTATACACAGCTCAACATAAGCTGTCATTCCCCTATTTCCATACACTAAATGCTTAGGCTAATGAGCTTTTATTAGGAACTATCTTGTTTCCACTGGACTCAAAAAGAAGGCTTTAAGCAATTCTGAAAAGCTATATATAATATAGATAATCTAGGACTGAATTTTGGATGGCCAAATTAAAAAAGGGATAAGCAACTTGTATGGTGATAGTGTTTTGTTTATTGGACCTTAAAATTCTCTGCAGGTAAATTTCACTATCCTAATTTGAAATGTGAGGAAATTGAGGAACAACAAGCAAAGGAACTTGTCATCTTTAAGCATTTGAGCAAGCTTGGGGTCCCCATTCAATGCTGAATGCACTGCCTACTTAGCAGCAGAAAATATTTCTTTGGGAGAGAAATGGAATTTTCTGTTGGGAAGAACCTTCCTGATTTAGATCCTGGAACACAAATAACAAATGTTTTGCATGTTTTTTCTTGAGAAACAAATGGCACTGCTTTCTGTTTCTTTATCAATATTGTTCTTTTTCTTCCTCAAAACATGAGATTCATTCACATGACTTTTAAGGAAAAAGAAGTCAGACGGTAGCTACCATTAAACATTGTTTTATTGTAGTCTTTAATGTACATGCAGAATTAAAAAAGTGTCAGTTATATCTGTAAGCACATAACAACAATGTAAATGTATCAGATCAGCAACGTATTTGGATTAGGGACTAATAAATCTAAGTGAACAGACATCTTTCAGGATATACAGTTTATATGATAAATCAAGGTTTTCTTCAGAGTGATTTTCCTCATAAAAAGATAAAATATTTCTTGTTTATAATCTTGCTTGTTTTTAATTCTGAAAAAATCTATAATAGTACACTCTCCACTATGTACATAGAAAAACATAAAACTATATCCATACCAGTGTCTGTTTTAAATGCAAACAATAGTAGTTAATAGCTTTGTAACTTTTTGTGCACCCTCTCCCCTCTTCTCTCCCTCCCACCCCCTTTAAAAAATGCAGCATCTCCTAACGTTTTCAATGCTTTGGTAGAAAAAGAACCGAAGGCACTCCCATGTTAGGTAAAGCAGTAAGTGAAATATCAGCGCTAAATAAAAAAGCTGCAGGTGTACCAGACAGCTCTGTGCTCAGTCCCATGGGCCAAGTCCTGCACTCTTGGAGGTCAAGAACTGGTTTGCTGTAGGTGCCAACTGGAGCAGGCTCAGGCCCCAGGTCAGGCTACAATAAAGCTGATCAGCCTCACAACTATTTTTACAAAAGCTTCACACAAACCACATGAGGATACAGGCAGTATCTCTCAACACAGTACTATCATGAGGGCAAAAAGCTCCTGCAGGAGCTCCTGCAGGAGTTCCTGTAGGATCCTGTAGGTCACAGCATCAGAGTATGTTGCAAGGGCTCTATTTTGTAGGCCTTGCACCTTGCAACATAGGCTAGCTTCACACAACACCCTCCATTTCAGACTTCTGATGTTGCAGCCTGTCTAAAAACAAACGAACAAATCCATGATTTGAAGCTCTAACCCATCTCTCATGATGGATTAGTTTAGACTCAGCAAAGCATCAATTCTCCTGAAAATATTCTGTGTGCTAGTGGCATGCTGACTTCTGCTGATAGGAAAGTTTTTAAAGCTGATAGGAAAGTTTCTCTCAGAGGCAGCTCCTCCTTGGCATTTTGTGGCTTGTGTTTGGCACACCTTCATTTTTCTCGTAACTTGGGGTTATCTCTGGCATACTTAAAATATGTAGTTATATGAATACTCTGGAAAAAAAATGAAGCCTATGAGATAAGCACCTAAATGCTAGCTAAGAGATGTGTCATAAGTCACAGTTAGGAAAACATTTCTATAATGACCAGTTTTAGTTTTCAACTGCAGTTTGCTTCTACAACTCCACAGAAGGCTGAGAAACAACTGGCTGCAAACTTCCAAGAGAGAGAGCAAAAGGCACAGACAGAAGCTTTTTTATGGACGTGAAAAGCTTTCACGTGTCTATGTTTCCAGCCTGATGAAGCGTTAGCTTTTCAGGTCATGTATTAATTAAGTAATTTGTTTACTTAACCAATGTATTCATAGTACACCATACCTGACCACGACTGCAAATAGCTGTAGTCAACTGACGATACAATTGAAAAAGAACATTCTGCTAAAACCTGCCAGCTTGTCACGTTCATTCTGCTGCAGTAGCTCTACACTCTTTGGCCACAATAAAATGAATGGCATTACAGTGTTGGAAAACATTTTTGTCATTCTTTGGTATCTCTACGGATTTATCTTACAAGGAATGAACAGCGAGATAAAAAGGCACCCAACGTAACACTTCTGTCTCTGAATTGAACAGCCAGCAAAATGATATGCAACTGGCATGGAAAAATAGTCATTGATGGTTAGTTTGAAATGCAGGCTGAAAAGAGAGGGAAAAATAATAATAATAATAAAAAAGCAAGTAGTCCAGTAGGAATACACAGTAGAAAAAGAAACTGAGCAAGTGATTCTTTGTTTTGGGCCAGTAAATCCACCAGTTGCTGTTATGTTGCTTTGGAAAACGAAACTGGCACCAAAACACCCCAACCAACACAAAACCCCCACCCACTCTCTAGGCTGATGGCTTTTCTTCAAATGTCCCTCAAATCTCTTTCCGTACTGTGGCTCGGATGCTGCTGAACACTTTGCCTATAGCCTCAAAGAGTGGGTCGCAGAACGTGTGGATGCAGATGGAATAGACACGGCTAATGCACTGGATCTCAATCAGGTAGCTCCTTATGCATGGCACCACCGCCCAGATGTGCAGGAATGACAAGATGGCAAAGTAGATGCCCCAGATGAGAGCCATAGGAATGCCAAAGATTGCTGACAGTAAACGATAAAACCAGTATTTCGTTACAGTGAAGGTGGTAAAACTGGCCTTCCAAATCCCATCAAAGCTGTGTGTTCCCTCTGGCTCAGCAATCACATCTTCAAAATCAATCTGCATCAAAGAACACAAAAGCAGGTCAGTCAGGTGTCCCCATTAAGAGTGGATTCCAGAAACCCCTCACCTGGAAAGCAATGGTCCCCTGCACAAAACTCTGAAACATGTAATCCCTACATCCCAACATGATTCAACCCATCTTAACATATCATCTGTGATAATGATATGAATAAGGCTTGCGTTTTTTTTTTCCCTAGTGATTATCAGGAAGCCTCAATGACTAGCTCAAAACCAGACACCTAACTTTTAGATACTGTCCACAAAACTGCACTGCCCACAAAACTGAATAACTTTTCTTCAAGATATAGCTTGAATATTTTGTCTTCAAGGTATAGAGTGCCCTTAAAATCTACGTAAGAGATGAACCAGTTAAAAAGAATCATGATGCTGTCATTGCCTATCTTAACCATTTCACATTTTTACAAATGGAATAAACGTGCTCACTACTTTGGCATTTTATGCACCTTAAGCGTGCATCGATAAAATACGCTTTATTTGTCTCATTTTTCCATCTTACCCTGTAAAGCATTGCTAAATTTTGACAGTTAATAAATGTTAAGGACAGCTATTTAAATATATATTTTGAAACGGTTGTGAATAGTTCTTAATAGCCTGAAAAATAAAATACTGGATTTAGATTGGTATCAGATGGAGATCCTTTATATTCTGAAAGGGTAAGGGAGCTCTTCAATCTTGTTAAACATAGAGAGGCTCTTCACATTAGAGTCATTTTGTTCTAGCCTATCCTGTTTATGTGATAACCCCCTGTTCGTGAAAGACATAGGTGAACATATTAATGTTTAGAAGGAACACACTCTTCCACATATTTCATGGTTTTGACTATTCATAAATCATTCAAAAAGTCACCTAAGGAAGCAGTACATTCCAGCATGCATATTTTACGGTTCTATGTTGAAATACTGAGCTTTTTCAGGAAGCTTAATTGTCATAACATTTCTATTAGAAAATTAACAGAATTGGGGTGATAGTTCAGCTTCATGTCACACAAACACTTGCTTGATATAACCCACAATACAGGATATTTAATTTAGTCAGCACACCAAATTGTATAGGTACTGCATTCAAAAGGAAGAAGAACATCACAACAGTACGCCTCTGCAAGAAACTAAATGATTGTTTAAATTAGGTGAAAAAAAAATACGTTCCTAGGACTGGATCCCAAAGTCCAGTGATGCTGCTGCCATAAGTGATGATTTACAGGAGCAGGCTGAGTATGATATGGGCCAGAGGACTCAGAAACTCAGGCATACCTTAGGAGGCTGGAAGGAGGTGAATATAAATATACTGTGTAAATATTGCTTATACTGTAGGAAAAGGCTTAAAATCACTTCTTTTCATTTAAAAATGGAAAAAACTTCTCCCTCTCTCCCACTGAATCTTCAGTCAGCCCACACAAAAGTTACCAACTCACTACAAAGGAAAAAATACTATAAAATCACTGGGCTTTCCAGTTTTATCAAGAAAAGATAATTCCCAAGCAAAAGTATACAGTCTAGGGGTAATTTGCTTGAAGGGTTTTAAAGTCCTCGTGAGGAAATTTCTGAATCAGATGTAATATCAGACATCCCAAATGCCTAACATCAAGCTGGCTAAATTTAATGTGTTACTGGGCCTAACCATCACTTTTCCTGCTCAGGTCAGTGCATCTCTCCAGATATTGGATAAACAAACTACAAACCCTTTATTCTTTACTGAATGAGGCTTTAGTGATTTGAAAGTGCTTTGTGACTCTTCTGGATGAGATTTCATTATCACCCTAATCATGGCCATCATACTTTAAGCTAGCATTTGGGTTGAAATTCTGTCTCCACAGAAACCAGTGGCAGGATCTGCATCAGCTGATACCTAACGAACACGACACAGCTCCACGCACTTCTTGTGAAGGCATGCAGAGCCAACAGTCTATCTGGAATTTCTGAAACTGAACAGCATAATTTTAAACAATAACCACAGAAAGAGAAAATGAAAAGAGAGTCTTAGGCACAGTTCTCTCCTGCAGTATTTCTATCCGTATTAAATAGCCTGCACTTCTGTAGGTCATGTGATTTTTTAGTACTAATCTTGGAAAACAATTTCCCGGAAAATAGTGTATAAAAACAGCATATACAGGACACTATATTTGTTGCTCAGTTTAGACAGGACATTAGAGCTTATTTGGGTTCTGTAATGTCAGTGGGACCAATCCTGAAGCTCTAGTAGAAATAACTCCAGTTCTGGTAAGGGCATCACAGGCAATAGAATGTTCTATATTTTCACTGTGGCCTTATTAGATATAAAAGTTCACATTGGGGACTAAATAAGTGACACAAAATTAGCTTTATAAAGTACATTGGCCATAAAATAATTATATGAATTAGTCATTAGAAGTTATCTGCTGTCTAGAAAGACAGAGCAAGGATGTATTACGATTTTATGTTCCAAATGAAGCAATCAGATGCCCTGGTATCAATCACTGCATTTTTAGGACTGGATCCACAAGAGAAAGAAGAAGAATGTTGTAGATGTACATGAAGAAGTCAACAATATCTCCTGATGATAGTGTCTAATTGTCTTCTATCTAACCTCAAAAATAAAACAAAAAAACCTAAGACGTTTTCAAGAGCTGCGTATTATTTACCAAATCAACCTTATTCAACTGAGTGCACTTGTTGGAAAAATGTATGCCCGATTTTATTTTCTTTTTGAAATACACTGGGAAGCATGCTTACACTATATATTTTTGCAGCAATTCAAAAGCAAGCTTTTCATTGTAACCTGTATTGCATTTTCAAAAGCAAATGGGTTCATTTTCAAAGTTCATTTTCAAAGCAAATGGGTGCTCTTGGCTTATTATCAACATTAGCCTTGAAATCAGATAATAAAAATATGCAGATGATTTTAGCAAGAGAAAGTAGCTTCTGAGAAAATGATATTACAAGAAGACTATATATATTTTTTTTTCCTCATAGGTTGTACATAGCCTTCTTATTCTAAAACTTGTGGCAATTTATTGTGTTCTTCCCATCAGTTGATGCTGTGATCATTGGCAGAGAGAGTTTGTGCACGTAGCTATCATACAGCAGGTCAGTGCATCAAGGGCCATTCAAAGTCTTTATATTTCACTCAGTTATAGAGGCGTCTATCTTTTATGTTTTCAACAAGCTGATAAGGGAAATATTAAATCTCACGAGGAAAGCAACTTTGCATTGAGATCATTTTCATGGTTATAACTTTAGCTGAGTGGGACCTATTTTTATCTGCAGAACATGTTTTTGGCATGCAAGAAGTTAATGTGAAGCTCCTAGAATTTTGCAAATAAATATTAAGACTGGCTTGTAATTTGGTTCCTTTAGAAATAATTACTTACAATGAATGCTTTACTGAAAAATGGAAGCTGGTAAACTCATCGATTTTCAAATCAAATAGTAAATTTTCTGTAATCCCAGTTCTCAGAAACTGATGGTTTTAGCCTGTTGTGTGACCCAAGATGTCCTCAGAGTTAATCCTGGGGAGCTGACAGAAGAATCAGACCATATAACATTTCCAGATGGGCAGCATTGTCCTCATTCCAGGAGATGATGCTAATGTCAGAACATTCACGATATATCCTTGGCCGGGGTTTCTCCGCTCAAGTCATGCACAGTTGTCCTGAAAGTGCTCAGGCATCAGTCTGCCTGAGATTGTAATGGCAGTGTATTTCTGCCACCAGCAATCACCACGAGTTGGTGGAGTCCTTCCTTGGAGCAATTTTAACAGCACTATGAACGTTTCTACCAATGCACAGAGCCCACATAGATGGTGCTATGGGAACAATAACTGATGTCTCCCTACCACATCTTTCCCATTTCATTATTTCTCAAGTCCCATGTTCTCCATTGCTCCACATTGCATATGGAAGACACCAAACTGAATTTGAGAGTCTTGAAAGATAGAAAAATGGCCTGGCAGCTGTAAAATCTCTCACATGAATGGGTTAAAATGAACCTGTCGTCTGTCTAAAAGCCACAATAATGTTATGAAGTAACATGCGTGTTGAGAGAGTGGAATGGTAACATCTGCGTTGCTGTCCAAAACCAGGCTTACCCGAAGCAGTATAAAGTCTAAATCAAGCTATCCAACAAACTGAGGTAAGCTGGGCTCTTCCACGTCTCAGCTGCAACCAGATCACGTACGAATCCCACTGGCTGGGAAATGTGCTATTTATTTCATCGTTCAGGCAGTGCAGATAAGTCCTCACACTGCAGGAACTGAGATATCACCCAGATTCTTCCTGCGCTGAACCACTCCCATGAAAGATCCTGTTTTTAACTCCCAGGGATCTGTCCTCAGCAAGCAGCAGAGAGAATAGGTGACTGGATGAACTTTGCCTTGCTATGGGATATATTTCTTTCAGTTACTCACCCCTCAGTCTCTTCTATCATTCCCCTCTGGTTTTTAGTTCAACAGCACTCAGTAATGGTGAGTGTCATCAGCCTGATAACGGGAGTCCGAATGAACTAAGTAAATTAAAAATAGGAGTGACAGAAGAAACAGAAGTGGCCAGAAATACGATCCTAGGAAGAAAGACACTCTGCAGCTCTTCACTAATTTCTGGAAACGGACCTAACTGGCCCACAAGGCTAAGATACCTCTATTTAGGGTACTTTTCTCAACTCCACTTTTGCCAAAGCATCAAATGTATGTAAATTTATGAAAGACTCTGCTTTATTCATGTAAAGACATGCTTAGGTTAGGCACAGGTCCTGTTGTGAAGATTACAGCATGTAGCTTGTTCCTCTAGAGCTATCAGGGTGTGCTGTGAAACAACTGGGAATTATTTGCCAAGCTAATGAAAATACAGACACGTTCACTTGTGACAAGGAGAGAAGTAAAGGAAATTTGTTTTGACCCTCTAAAGGATGCTAATAACTCACTGCAGCCTTCTGTTTCAGCCAAAGCTATTAAACACTATCAACTTCTGTTCCATGCCTACAATGCACTTCCTGACTTCAGCTATT